AGGCGCAGCGATCCACAGGCGTTCTCTTCCCCCATCCATAAACGTAATGATGTAAACATTAAACACATTCGGGGATTTATTTCTAAGAGAGTTAGTAACAAGTCGTCTAATGTTGTGCTTGAGCTTCGTCTTGCCCTTGGTTAGGCCTCACGTGTGGGGCCTAACCAAGGTAGGTGTTTAGTAAACCACAGTAAAATAAAAATAAAAACTCATTTTAAGAAATACATCGACTACCCCTCAAAAAAAAAAATGACCATCGGATCCCATTTTCTATCTCTAGGTGAGTTTTTTACGACGTTGGGAGGACGTTGCCTGAAGGTCCGAACGCGAGCAAGGTCGCCCGCCACCACCACCACCACCACCACCACCACCACCGCCACCACCCCAGATAAGGTGAATTCTCCATGTTCAGGGCTGACAGCTCTTATGAAAGAAAAGTAGGTCACTGAATTAGTGGTAAGGCTTTATGGTTGAAGTAGATATACAGACCAACAGGCACACGTATATATGTTATATAAACACACAAACACAAATACAATTATACACAGTCGTGAAGGCATACAAGAAAGGTTGAACATCCCTCCCCCCCCCCCTGAGAATGTTGCGAAAATGACGTTGATTAATGTTGTTCTAATGTTACTCACCCATGTTTTACTCACTAGTAATGAAGACCTAAACAAATTCAAATTGACTTTGATGGATAAAATGAGGCAAATTGGAGGAGACATGATAACAACATACAAGATACTAAAGGAAAACAGGCAGGTGGACATAGAGTCAATGTTGGAGATGAGATCAAGTGACGTCTGTAAAAAAAAATTGTCAAAACAGGAGCCGAAGTCATATATAACCAGCTAAAAGAACTAATTGAATGAATTAACATGGTGCGGTGCTAAGGCAGGCTGGGGCTCAACCATGTTAAGCACATCTAGGTGAGTACACGCATCTTGTCAGGGAAATCAACGTCTTTTACGATCCTAACAGTTTTATGAAAAGGCAAGGATGGGTAGACTGCTGTTTGCCCAGAGTGCCAGAAGGTCTTTGATACAGTTCCACGCAAGAAACTACGCACACACACACACACACACACACACACACACACACACACACACACACACACACACACACACACACACACACACACACACACACACACACACACACACACACACACACACACACACACACACACACACACACACACACACACACACACACACACACACACACACACACACACACACACACACACATGATCACCACATTCAAGATCCTCAAGGGAATTGACAGGGTTGATAAAGACAGGCTGTTTAACACAAGGAGCACACGCACTAGGGGACACAGGTGGAAACTGAGTGCCCAAATGAGCCACAGAGATATTAGAAAGAACTTTTTTAGTGTCAGAGTGGTTGACAAATGGAATGCATTAGGAAATTATGTGGTGGAGGCTGACTCCATACACAGTTTCAAGTGTAGATATGATAGAGCCCAGTAGGCTCAGGAACCTGTACACCTGTTGATTGACAGTTGAGAGGCGGGACCAAAGAGCCAGAGCTCAACCCCCGCAAGCACAACTAGGTGAGTACAACTAGGTGAGTACACACACACACACACACACACACACACACACACACACACACACACACACACACACACACACACACACACACACACACACACACACATAGAAAGAATAACATTGGCGGAATATGCGAGGCCGGTTAACATAAGAACTGCCTTCAGAAACGTGCATAAGGAATCTTTCAGAACCTTGTACACCACGTATGTAAGGCCAGTCCTGGAGTATGCGGTCCCGGCATGGAGCCAGTACCTTGTCAAGCACAAGACGAAGCTGGAAAACGTTAAGAGGTATGCCACTAGGCTAGTCCCAGAACTAAGAGGCATGTCATATAACGCATTGAAACGGATCTGTCTAAATACCCAAAGCTACCCAAAGTTTCCTAGCATTAAGTAAGCGATGAAGAAATGCGATATATTTACTCACTATAATGTTGATGCTGGATGTAGAATATGAAAAAAACATATTTTTACTTTGAAATAATATAATTTTTGTAACGAAATTAGACGAAACCACGTAGCAGGGAATGCCATAAGAAGTCAACAATCCGAGCAACTGTTGTGGAGTAACTTATCCAAGATATACTGTTGTCTGGAGAGTGTGTGCTGTCCCACTGTGTTAGAATGTAAGAAAAAGATACATGCAAGACTCTCTTACATGTATACCTACAGTGAAAGAAAGAGTAAGAGGAGAAGTCAACGAGAGAAAGTGACCTTATGGACTGTGACCTTAAGACCACCCACATAGTAACCCTTCAACGACAACCTGACCCTTGACGAGGCTAAAGTGAGGTTGTTACCCACACACGAGGTCAAAGGTTAATTAATTCATACCACAGGTGGAACTAGTAACTAACTGGATATTATTTTATCTAAGGTGACCAAAAATAAAGAAAATACACAAGAAGCAAGTAAGAATATGTAAATAGACAGGTGAGAGAAAAAAAAACAGGTTAGGAACAGGATTGTTAGGCAAGATAGTGTTACACCACTCTCTCACCCCCTCCCCTTGAACACACACACACACACACCACCTAGTCTCCACTCACCCCTGAACACACCCCCCGTAGCTTAAGTAGTTATCCCAGCTTCAGAAACCCCCAGAGGGGTAGTTAAGTGATGGAAGTTGATCATTGTGATCACTCAGACTGTTGCTTCGCGCATTACAGCACAATCTTATTGTGCTGTGTATATACTGGTATGCTGTTTTTTGCTGCCATTCTTTGTCGCTGTTGGGAATGCAATTGTCGTCATTGTTGGTGCTGTTTCATTGTTATTTGTTCATGCCACCGTTTAGTTTTATTGTTATTTGTTGTTGTTGTTATTGCTGTAATTGTTAACAGTGTTATTGTTGTTGTTATTGCTGTAATTGTTGACAGTGTTGTTGTTGTTGGGGGGCAGGAGGTAATCGTCTCCAGCTGTTGTCTGTGTTGTAGAGAGCAGTGTTGCATCAAGGCCAAGAGAGTATGTTCTTGTTCTGTTGTTCTTGTTCTCGCGAGAGAGTTCTTTACTTACTGTTGCCAGGTCTGCTCTCGTTCTTCTTTGTGTTCTTCGATGTTGTTACTGTTGTAGTTATATATATATTGTTCATTACTGTTGTTCGCTCATTAGGGCGGTGGTGATATCAGTGGTGGTAATTACGATAACAGGAGGGGTAGCAACCCCTACTATAATGCCCCTAACAGGCAGGGTACTGTTCCCTCATCCCCCTAGTAATTAACCTTCACTCATCCCCTCCCCCCCCCCCCCGTCTACAGCGGTCAGTCTAATTACCCAAAGCTCCATAACTTTACGTAAGTACTGAAGAACTGTGATATATTTACTTATTTACTCACTATACTGCTGGTGCTGAATGCACAACACGACCAAGATATATTTTCAATCTGAAATAATATCATTTTATAACGACATTGGGTCCGTCTAATAACTCAAAGCCACAAACAACATTGTCGCTTGGATCGTCGACTTCCTGTGGCGTCACCTGCCACTTAGATTCGTAGTTCTTAATTACTTACGTAATGCTACGAAGCTTTGGGTAGCTTTGGGGGGGGGGGTTACTTAACTTTGGGAAGCTTTGGGTGACTTTGATTAGCTTTGGGTAGCTTTTATTAGCTTTGGGGTAGCTTTTATTAGCTTTGGGTAGCTTTTATTAGCTTTGGGTAGCTTTTATTAGCTTTGGGGTAGCTTTTATTAGCTTTGGGGTAGCTTTTATTAGCTTTGGGTAGCTTTTATTAGCTTTGGGTAGCTTTTATTAGCTTTGGGTAGCTTTTATTAGCTTTGGGTAGCTTTTATTAGCTTTGGGTAGCTTTGGGAAATTTGGCGGTCCACTTGGGAGGATTTACCTGTTAGAATCACGGAACCATCCGGGTGACTGACACCTGTTATTGACATTTTCAACCACCTGACACAAAACAAATGTGAATGATTTACATTTTCAATTTCCAGTCATAGACGAGCCAGGTAGCAGCAAGCACGCGTTTTCCTTGTCTTGTCTCACCAAAGAAAACGTAAATTGCTGTATCCAAAAGCACTACGGCGAACCTAGGGAATGCGGCTACTCTGACCGCCCGGTTAGAGTATAGTCAACCATTTTTCTATCCGCAGACAGAGTGAAATACGCGTCTCGCTGTGTGATTCTCTGAACCCTGGAATAGCTGATAGCGTCGGGCGATAGCCGCTCCGTGATCCAGAGAGAGAGAGAGAGAGCCGGGCTAGTTTTCTAAGCAGGGGTGACTTCGTTTGGCCTTTCCGGACCTCCGGAGCGCCCCGAGACGACCGGAGGGCCCCGAGTTGGCCGGACCGTCGAGCCGACCGGAGCGCCCCGAGTCGGCCGGACTGTCGAGCCGACCGGAGGGCCCCGAGCCGACCGGAGGGGCCCCGAGCTCCACCTGGTCACTGACCCATTCCCACGCTCTTGAACCCCACTGATTGATCAACACAACTTGTACATTCTCGATGGGGGTAAAAAAAAGAGGTGTTGGCTACGACTTTCCCAGTGCTTGGCAACGTGGGTTATGATGCAAATGACCTCTGGTGCCCCGTGCCAGCTCGCTCGCTGGGTATTGATGGGTGACTGCTTTTTTTTTGTATGTGTCGAGGAAACATTATGGGAATGGTTGGAAGAGGGATCGCCGGGTGGGGAGGGATGGGGATGGGGGGGGGGGGTGGAGGACGAGTGAGAGGGGGAAGACGAGAAGGATGGAGGAGGGGGGAGGGATGTCTGGAAGGCTTTGGGAGGAGGGGGGGAGGGAGGCAAGGAGGCTAGTCAAACAGTCATTACAAAATATCACAGGTTAACAAACAAAAAACTAAATTTTTACTTAACATTTGACAGCAAACATAAGTGAGTTCACACACAGAGATCACACTAACGTGATGCATCAAATGAACACATCCACAATCCTCGTCACGGCCCTTGTGGATTTGTTCATAACTGAGTTGTGTCCCGCTCTGTACCAACAGCCTCAGGCAGGAGGACCCTTTGTTGATGAGTTATTGCTTCTGTTGACTCCTGCCTGTTCCCGGTTATCGACGCTGTGACACGCTAAACGGTTACCACTTTACCTGTTCCCGGTTACCGAGCGACCCATTAACCAGATACCAAATTCCTGTTTCCGGTTATTGAGAGTGAGCGCCGCGCCGCTAGCCCTCAAGTGATGTCTTCACCCGGCTGACATCACTCGAGCGTCACGTTGAAGAGTCTAACTAGTTATGAAAACAACAACATCCCAGACAACAGCAACTCTCACGCTTCCTGCACCACTGGCGGAGGCCGCCAGGGAAAATAAATCATGTTATTTATCTTTTTATAGCGAGATATATATCCCGTAGCTTTAGTGTAAGACATACATATAAAAGTATATTGCTGACCACTAGAGAAGTGAAGCTTTGGTAAAGAGGAAAATCAATAAGATAACTCGGATTTGATATCACAAGGGGCTGGCCAGGATCACAAGGGGCTAGCCAGGATCACAAGGGGCTAGCCAGGATCACAAGGGGCTGGCCAGGATCACAAGAGGCTAACCAGGATCACAAGGGGCTAACCAGGATCACAAGGGGCTAACCAGCATCACAAGGGGCTGACCAGGATCACAAGGGGCTAACCAGGATCACAAGGGGCTAACCAGGATCACAAGGGGCTAACCAGGATCACAAGGGGCTGGCCAGGATCACAAGGGGCTGACCAGGATCACAAGGAGCTAGCCAGGATCACAAGAGCTGGCCTGAAGACACTGATCAGGTAACAGGAATCTGCCTAAGCTTACCGAAGGTCAGCATCTTACCAGTCACATAGTTCACACCCAAAGAAGCTGAGATGTTGTTAAATTACTTTCGACCAGACATTAAAATGATCCAGTCTACACGAGGTAACATTTGTTCTGACCTTCAGGTTTGTGGTGCTATCGTAAATTAAATTTACAATCGATTTACAGATGCCCTTCTAAGTATTCGACAGGAATCTCTCTTCCTGATAGTTTTAGCTGTCCTGTGAGTTAAAAGCAACCACGGAAATTTGTCATAGGATTGAACGTTGTTGTCAACTGTATTTCTTTCACATAATTCAGTCAATGTTCCATGGCATCCTTGGTCGCTGCTAATAGGGAAAAGAAAAAATATATCCCCAGGACTGGCTAGGCAACAGACCCGTCCAAGTCAGCAACAGGCAGGACCGCTAGGGGGTCCCCTCTCCCTCTATAGGCTCCACCCCCTTCCCCTCTCCCTCCCTCACTCCCTCCCCTCAGGCATGACCAGGACGAGGGAATCCCCGGATGACGTCAATGGCAGGTCTAGTGACGTCAACAAACCCCCCAATTGAGCCATTAACGAACTGTTTATCCAATGGCACTAAAAACGGGCGTATCGTTTCATCAACCAATGCCATAACTCGAGGTCACTCTTGCAGTCCCGCGCGTTCACTCTCGCTCTCGCACTCTCACTCTCGCAACAGAGTGAACGAGAGGTGCCGAAAAGCTAAAAATATCTCTGGATAACTGGCATTTAGATCGTGTATGGTAACACTGTCGTTAGATTACATATCTCTAGCTAAAGATAGTCTGAGGGGAAACGCCACTTACAGCACCACGAGAATAGCGCTCCCCTTTAACTACCCTTAGGTAATTACACTTGGGTAATTACTCTCACGCATGCGCCCTCACTCTTATTCACGCTTGATTCAGTTCTCATATTCTCATCTAACTCTTTGGCCTATACACAACTTCGTCTTCTGCAAGTGCAATTCAATTCAAAGGCAGACTCCGGATGCATTTTGAGGATATCATCTTGTGTTGATGATATCCTCAAAATGCATCCGGAGTCTGCCAGTGCAGACCGCTTATCACATGCCTCTGTATGACTAACCATCCTGTGTGATGGGGATTTTTTAGCATCACCAAGTTAGCTTTTTTTGACACACTGTACTCGACTTCATATAGTCTAGGGTAGCTGCACTAATGCAGATGTACCTCATATCTTAATAAAAAACAATTCAATTCAAAATAAAAATTAAACAACTTTATTTATAAATGAGTTTAGTACAGATAAAGTTGGGTTAGTTTGCCATATAAGTTGACAGTGAATTACTAACCTGAGAGAAAGTCTTATTAATAACAACAAAACATGAATCTCTGACGATGATAATCAATTTAAAGCACTAGCATATAAATTAATGTGATTAATATATAAGATGTTCACGGCCTCAGCTCTCACTCTCTCAGTGAACAGGTTCTGGGGCTGAAGAACACATCTCTCAGTCAATTGGAAATTACAAATCTTAGGATGCTTGTTCTATATAGAATTATGCATTACAATCTTCACATATTACCTTTGTCAATCGCCATGTAGTTGTCAACTACAATAGCTATTTCTAATCATTTTCCAATTGTATTTTTTTTTTACATTTCATATTATACAATTCATATTTATACAATTCCTATTTATTATACAATTGATATTTCATATTATACAATTACAATTTCCAATTGTAATCGTATAATAATAATTTGGGTGAGGCTAGCCGCGAGCGTCTGACTTCCCACTTGGGACAGACCGACAGTGAAACACACAGACATTTTCAAACACAAACACACAACACACACACACCATTATATATATATATATATATATATATATATATATATATATATATATATATATATATATATATATATATATATATATATATATATATATATATATATATATATATATATATATATATAAAACGTACTGTCAACCTAAGCATCTATTCTTCCGTAGTTGTGCTTGCTTGCATGCACGTCAAAACAAGCATAAAAACAGGAGCATTTTCAGGGTCACTGGGCGCTGGTATATATAGCAAGGGGGCTACTAAAGCAGACCTCATGAGGTCCTCTGCCACACGCACACACACCAACATGAAGGCGCTGGTAAGGACGCCGTTTTCTAAAGCGTTTAAAATGTCCATTTACAAACCCTTAGCGTAGATAATCTGTCAATTATTTCATTGTTATTGCAGGTTTTGGTTATCTTGGGTCTGGTTGTCCTGGCCGCTGCCCGCCCGTCTGACATCATTAACATCGAGGAGGACCATCTGGAGCACGAGCAGGAGGGCGTCCCGGGCACGGCCGTCGAGGGCGAGTACTCTTGGGTAGCGCCTGACGGTAATGAGTACAAGGTCAAGTACGTCGCTGACCACCTTGGTTACCGCGTCCTCGAGGACAACGTCGTGCCCGAGGTCCCCGAGCTCGAGGACGACCTCGTGCCCCAAGGCCGAGCTCTCGACACCGATAATGTAGTCTCTGATGATGACGAAGAGGACACAGCTAAGCTTCGCGCAGCTGACGACGACGATGACGAAGAAGAAGACACAGCTAAGCTTCGCGCAGCTGACGACGACGACGATGACGAAGAGGACACAGCTAAGCTTCGCGCTGCTGACGACGACGACGACGATGATGACGAAGAGGACACAGCTAAGTTTCGCGCAGCTGAAGACGATAGCGAAGAAAATTAAGAACAGTTACCCAGTATTAACTGTAAACAAGGAGCAGCGAGGTGGTGACCAGACGCGGGAGTAAACACGATGATTTCTTGTCAATTAAATATTTTCTACAGTATGCAAGGTGGTCTTTTTTCTCTCATCCTGTGCCTGGTGCTTGGTCGCTGTTCATAGCATTCTGAATTCCTTCTGGTAGATTGTGAATGTAGACGATGAACATTACGGGTGCAAGAAGTGAACCCTGTGGTACTCCGCAAGTAACACTTCTCCAGTCAGATACATTGTCTCTGATTCCCTGTCTCCCTGTCACCCCTCCAGCATGTTTCAGTTTCCAGAACAGCCTCTTGTGTGGGACTCTATCAAAAGCCTTCTTTAGGTCCAGATAGACACACAGTCAAGCCAACCACCTCTTTTCTGTAGTATCTCTGTGGCTCTATCCTGCAGGGATAGAGCCACAGAGCTCTATCCTGCAGGGATAGAGCCACAGAGCTAGTGGCAACACGCCAATCTGAGGTCTCATCTCTCAAAGTAACTCTCTGCTTCCTGTTGTTTAGGTACTCCCCTTATCCATTGGAGCACCTTACCACTTACTCCAGCTTGTTTCTCCAACTTATGCAACAGTCTCTTATGGGGTACTGTGTCAAAAGCTTACTGACAGTTCAAGAAAATGCAGCTTGCCCATCCTTCTTTTACTTGCTTAATGCTTGTTGCTTGATCATAGAATTCTACTAAACCTGTGAGACACGACTTGCCTCCCCTGAACGCATTCTGGTGACTTGTTACAAAGTCCCTGGCAGGTGTGCTACCAGGCTTTTTCTCACGATCTTCTCCATCACCTTGCATGGTATACTAGTTAAGGACACCGGCCTGTAGTTTAGGGCCTCCTGCCTATCCCCTCTTTTTTGTAGATTGAGACTACGTTAGCTATCTTCCAACTCTCTGGTAGGTCTCCCATTTCCAATGACCATAGATAATGGCACGCAAAGTGCTTCTGCCCTCTCTTTTTTAGTATCCATGGTGAGATTCCATCAGGTCCAACAGCCACTTCTAGATCTAGAAAATACCTCCCTAACCTCATCTCTGGTAATTTCAATATCTTCCAAGTCAGCTTGGTTTATCGCCACCCCTCTTAGTTCAGGGACTTCCCCCATTGCTCTATTGTGAAAACCTCCTGGAACCTCTTGTTGAGTTCTTCACATACACCTCCTTGTCATTCTCTGTGTACTCATCCTCTCCCTTTTTCAGTTTCATCACCTATTCTTTACTGTTGTTTACTTCATGATGTGGTGTGTGTTTGTAGGTATGTAGGTAGGTGTGTTTTGGTTGTGTCTTGGCTTTATTTCCTATGTCATTTTCAAACTGCCTCTCTGCTTCTCTCCTCACACTGGGGTAACTATTTCGGGCCCCTTTGGTATCTCTCTCTCTCTCTGCTCTCTGATGTCCTGTTATTCCTGTAGTCTCTCCATGCCCTTGTGCTTAGCTGCCCTGCTTCCTTACATGCCTGATTGAACCACGGATTCCCCTTTTTGTTTTTCAGTTTTTTTTTTCTTTCTGGACCGGGATAAACCTGTTTTCTGTCTCCTGACGCTTCTGGGTGATGTAGTCCATCACGCCTTATATAGACTTTCCACTCAGTTCTGTCTCCCATGGTATTCCTGTTAGGAATTTTCGAATTTCATCATAGTTTTTCCTTCGGTATTTCAGCATTTTCCTTTTCGGTTCATTCCTTGAAACTGATAATCCTACGGTTTCAAGTCCGAAACGAAAATCCGAACCGAAAAAGAGGTTAATCCTACTTCCACCAGATACTCAAAAATTAGGACACTGTGGTCACTCATGCCTATGGGGGGGGGAGGGGTTCTGATTTGACTTCCCTTATGTCTGACTCGTTTAGGGTGAATACCAGATCAAGTCTGGCTGGTTCATCATTCCCTCTGATTCTTGTGGCCCCCTTGACATGTTGGCATAGAAAGTTTCTTATCGCTTCGTCTAATAGTTTAGCTCTCCATGTTTATGTCCCTCTGTGTGGTTCTCTATTTTCCCAATCTATCTTTCCATGGTTGAAGTCACCCATGATGAACAGTTTAGATTTCTTCCTGCAGGCAATGGAGCCGCTCTCTCTGTTATGTTAATGGTTGCCATGTGTAGGTGTGTGTGTGTGTGGGCGGAGTGTGTAGGTGTGTGTGTGTGGGCTGGGTGTAGGTGTGTGTGTGTGGGCGGGGTGTAGGTGTGTGTGTGGACGGGGTGTAGGTGTGTGTGTGTGGGCAGGGTGTAGGTGTGTGTGGGGCAGATTGTGGGTGTATGTGTAGGCGGGGGTGTGGGGTGTATGTCATCGCGGTTTTTAGTGGAAAGGTGAAAGTGAGTGTAGATGTGTATGAGCGGAGAGTATAGTGGGTGGGTGTGAGGGCGGGGAGTATAGTGGGTGGGTGTGAGGGCGGTGAAGTAGAGTGAGTGGGTGTGAGGGCGTGCAGGGAGGGAAGTGCCCTCACTAGCGGTGGTAGAAGTATTGAGCCACACTTTACCAAGGTGAGCGTCTTCCCTTATCCGTTAGAGCCCCGCCTTCCCGGCTGCCTTCCAATAGTAACCCTGTGTTCCACTACCACCCTGCTGCCTTCCAGCAGTGTCCCTGTGTTCCAGTACTACCCAACTGCCTTCTACGGTTACCCTGTGTTCCAGTACCACCCTACTGCCTTCCAGCAGTGTCCCTGTGTTCCAGTACCACCCTACTGCCTTCCAGCAGTGTCCCCGTGTTCCAGTACCACCCTACTGCCTTCCAGCAGTGTCCCCGTGTTCCAGTACCACCCTACTGCCTTCCAGCAGTGTCCCTGTGTTCCAGTACCACCCTACTGCCTTCCATCAGTGTCCCCGTGTTCCAGTACCACCCTACTGCCTTCCATCAGTGTCCCCGTGTTCCAGTACCACCCTACTGCCTTCCAGCAGTGTCCCCGTGTTCCAGTACCACCCTACTGCCTTCCATCAGTGTCCCCGTGTTCCAGTACCACCCTACTGCCTTCCAGCAGTGTCCCCGTGTTCCAGTACCACCCTACTGCCTTCCATCAGTGTCCCCGTGTTCCAGTACCACCCTACTGCCTTCCAGCAGTGTCCCCGTGTTCCAGTACCACCCTACTGCCTTCCAGCAGTGTCCCCGTGTTCCAGTACCACCCTACTGCCTTCCAGCAGTGTCCCTGTGTTTCCAGTACCACCCTACTGCCTTCCATCAGTGTCCCCGTGTTCCAGTACCACCCTACTGCCTTCCATCAGTGTCCCCGTGTTCCAGTACCACCCTACTGCCTTCCAGCAGTGTCCCCGTGTTCCAGTACCACCTACTGCCTTCCATCAGTGTCCCCGTGTTCCAGTACCACCCTACTGCCTTCCAGCAGTGTCCCCGTGTTCCAGTACCACCCTACTGCCTTCCATCAGTGTCCCCGTGTTCCAGTACCACCCTACTGCCTTCCATCAGTGTCCCCGTGTTCCAGTACCACCCTACTGCCTTCCATCAGTGTCCCCGTTTTCCAGTACCACCCTACTGCCTTCCAGCAGTGTCCCCGTGTTCCAGTACCACCCTACTGCCTTCCAGCAGTGTCCCCGTGTTCCAGTACCACCCTACTGCCTTCCATCAGTGTCCCCGTGTTCCAGTACCACCCTACTGCCTTCCATCAGTGTCCCCGTTTTCCAGTACCACCCTACTGCCTTCCAGCAGTGTCCCCGTGTTCCAGTACCACCCTACTGCCTTCCAGCAGTGTCCCCGTGTTCCAGTACCACCCTACTGCCTTCCAGCAGTGTCCCCGTGTTCCAGTACCACCCTACTGCCTTCCAGCAGTGTCCCCGTGTTCCAGTACCACCCTACTGCCTTCCATCAGTGTCCCCGTGTTCCAGTACCACCCTGCAGAGCTATTTTCCCATAGTCTCACCCCCCCTCCCCCCAGGTCCCTGATCTGGAATGACTAATATATCAATCACTAATTGAGGGGTGGTGCCGGGGACGGGGGGGGGGGAAGGGGGTGGCAGTGGAAATCGTGTATATAGCAATGTGTTGCGTAAGTAGGGTTATATAAACTGTATTTAGTGTAGTATCCAGGAACTATTTATTGAGGCAGTGTGGTACCGAAGAACTACTCTGAGAGGTACTTAAGAACTACTCTGAGAGTCATTGTAGTACTTAAGAACTACTCTGAGAGTCATTGTAGTACTTAAGAACTACTCTGAGAGTCATTGTAGTACTTAAGAACTACTCTGAGAGTCATTGTAGTACTTAAGAACTACTCTGAGAGTCATTGTAGTACTTAAGAACTACTCTGAGAGTCATTGTAGTACTTAAGAACTACTCTGAGAGTCATTGTAGTACTTAAGAACTACTCTGAGAGTCATTGTAGTACTTAAGAACTACTCTGAGAGTCATTGTAGTACTTAAGAACTACTCTGAGAGTCATTGTAGTACTTAAGAACTACTCTGAGAGTCATTGTAGTACTTAAGAACTACTCTGAGAGTCATTGTAGTACTTAAGAACTACTCTGAGAGTCATTGTAGTACTTAAGAACTACTCTGAGAGTCATTGTAGTACTTAAGAACTACTCTGAGAGTCATTGTAGTACTTAAGAACTACCCTGAGAGTCAGTGAGAGTCATCATTGTAGTACTTAAGAACTACTCTGAGAGTCATTGTAGTACTTAAGAACTAAGAACTACTGAGAGTCATTGTAGTACTTAAGAACTACTCTGAGAGTCATTGTAGTACTTAAGAACTACCCTGAGAGTCATTGTAGTACTTAAGAACTACTCTGAGAGTCATTGTAGTACTTAAGAACTACCCTGAGAGTCATTGTAGTACTTAAGAACTACTCTGAGAGTCATTGTAGTACTTAAGAACTACTCTGAGAGTCATTGTAGTACTTAAGAACTACTCTGAGAGTCATTGTAGTACTTAAGAACTACTCTGAGAGTCATTGTAGTACTTAAGAACTACTCTGAGAGTCATTGTAGTACTTAAGAACTACCCTGAGAGTCATTCTAGTACTTAAGAACTACTCTGAGAGTCATTGTAGTACTTAAGAACTACCCTGAGAGTCATTCTAGTACTTAAGAACTACTCTGAGAGTCATTGTAGTACTTAAGAACTACTCTGAGAGTCATTGTAGTACTTAAGAACTACCCTGAGAGTCATTCTAGTACTTAAGAACTACTCTGAGAGTCATTGTAGTACTTAAGAACTACTCTGAGAGTCATTGTAGTACTTAAGAACTACTCTGAGAGTCATTGTAGTACTTAAGAACTACCCTGAGAGTCATTCTAGTACTAAGAACTACTCTGAAGAGTCATTGTAGTACTTAAGAACTACTTAAGAACTACTCTGAGAGTCATTGTAGTACTTAAGAACTACTCTGAAGAGTCATTGTAGTACTTAAGAACTACTCTGAGAGTCATTGTATTACTTAAGAACTACCCTGAGAGTCATTGTAGTACTTAAGTACTTAAGAACTACTCTAAGAGTCATTGTAGTACTTAAGAACTACCCTGAGAGTCTTGTAGTACTTAAGAACTACTCTGAGAGTCATTGTAGTACTAAGAACTACCCTGAGAGTCATTCTAGTACTAAGAACTACTCTGAGAGTCATTGTAGTACTTAAGAACTACTCTGAGAGTCATTGTAGTACTTAAGAACTACCCTGCGAGTCATTGTAGTACTTAGGAACTACTCTGAGAGTCATTGTAGTACTTAAGAACTACCCTGCGAGTCATTGTAGTACTTAGGAACTACTCTGAGAGTCATTGTAGTACTTAAGACTCAATAAGTTAGTCAGTCATTGTAGTACACACAAACGACTCAATAAGTTAGTCAAGTTCACAAGAACTACTACTACTACATTCTATCTATATACTCACAGTTCTAGGAATAGAGTAAGAGGCGTGGAACACATTACGATTACAATATACATAACGTCAAATATATTTGTCTTTGCTGAAGGAGCGAGGGTGAAGGTGAGGACACCTAGCGGGCGGGAGGGTGGGTGGGTGGGCGTTCCTCGATCGACACCTGACTGAGGTGGAGCAGCTGAGGTCACTTGTCCATGACTGAAGGACACTCCCGTGTACATATATATATATATGAGCCTGGGACAGGTGTTGGGTATCAGTTGTTCTCCTCCTCACTCACCGACATGAAGGTCCTGGTGAGTATACTGTGTCTTCTGGTCACATCGAAGTCTCTATACGAAGTTCTTTGTGGACTTCGAAGTAAAGTCTTGTCTTTAGAGCGAGGAATGTTGGTATTGATGAAGATGATTGTTGCAGGTTTTGGTTGTCTTGGGTCTGGTTGTCCTGGCCGCTGCCCGCCCGTCTGACATCATTGACATCGAGGAGGACCATCTGGAGCACGAGCAGGAGGGCGTTCCGGGCACGGCCGTCGAGGGCGAGTACTCTTGGGTAGCGCCTGACGGTAATGAGTACAAGGTCAAGTACATCGCTGACCACCTTGGTTACCGCGTCCTCGAGGACAACGTCGTGCCCGAAGTCCCCGAGCTCGATGACAACTAGGACCCTCGAGGAGGACCGTCCCCGAGGACAACTAGGGCCCTCGAGGTTCAAGGCCAGACGACAACAAGCTATTCCTCCAACTCCCGTCATCAAGTGGAAACACATAACACTCTAAACTGTAAAGTGTTATGTGAGAACAAGTTCAAATATCATTATATAATTTTAGTGGACCTTTACCTTTGAGTTAAAGCCACAAAATTAAACAATGCAGTCATGAAATACCATTCCACTGCAATAATGTCTAAATTGATAAGAATTAAATAAATCTCTGTATAAATCATCATGTTTCTTTGCCACAGCTACACTGCCAGGCCTCAACGGTCCTTATCATATTAGTACACATAATTGTGTAGTAAATAACACACATTAAGTTATCAGAGAGTCCTTTAAAAAACACATTTTAGCAATGTTGTAGAAACCTTAGCCAAAGTTAGCGGGGAAGCAGGAGACTTTCCTTGGCACTTAGTAACATTCAAAACGTCTCCTGGTTGTCAACAAGCAAAGCAGATTATATATATATATAATATATATATATATATATATATATATATAATATATATATATATATATATATATATATATATATATATATATATATATATATATATATTATATATATATATATATATATATATATATATATATATATATATATATATATATATATATATATATATATATATATATATATATATATATACAAATCCAGTTGGAATATCAAATAAAGTATGGGATCTTCGAAGAAGGGTTCTGAGGTAGAAGCCACAAATTATTGAAATTACAGAAACAAAACTCCCAAAACGCAATATTGGGTAGGTAATGTTTTCTTAAAATCCACATAACTCAAAGGGAAAATAAGTAACAGGAGCTTAGGAAAAAAAAATACCACAAATACAGGTGGCCAACCTTCAAAATATATCACAGGTGTTTTATAGAGACATCAACGAGAAAACATCTTCCGTTCTCCCCTCGTTATCAACAATTAACTTGTAAGAGTTGAACCAGAACAACAGAAATGGTCTTAAAAGTCACGCGAAACGCTGCAATATTGGAATTAATATTTTGCTTGAATTCCATGGAGGTAATTTCACTGGTTAACAAAAGTATCCCAGAATGATATATTGGATCGATGAAAACTAGTGGATAATTAAGAGATGCATTGTTTTGTGTCAGCAATGCTTCTATTGTTACCTTAATGTCAGAACCCCTCATTGTAGAGCTCCAGCTGCTACCTTAGTGTCAGAACCTTTGACTGTAAGGCTCCGGCTGTTACCTTAGTGTCAGAACCCTTGACTGTAAGGCTCCAGCTGTTACCTTAGTGTCAGAACCCTTGACTGTAAGGCTCCAGCTGTTACCTTAGTGTCAGAACCTTTGACTTTAAGGGTTCTGACAACTAAGGTAACTCTACTTTGAGTTTTACCTCTTCCGCCCCTCAGTCAACGGTTGTCAACCATCCAACTGATAAGATAGAACGTTCTGGAACTATGTGAACGATCGTAAAAATATCGACATGATAGACAGACATAAAGTACAATATGGTACTATTAATTTTAGAGAGTCCGGAAAAAATAAAACAAAAACCAAACCTAAATATTCATAGGCCTAGTTTAGCACATATATGTACTATATTAGGCCTAGGATGGTTAGGCTAGGTTTCATTAGCAACTTAATTATAAAAACTTTTGCAGTTCGTCCCAATTCAATAGTACTAAAGTCTACTCATCCCTGTACCAGGCAGCAGAGGGAGGTGTGGTACAGAGTGCTGTACCTGGTGACAGTACTGTACCAGGCAGCAGAGGGAGGTGTGGTACAGAGTGCTGTACCTGGTGACAGTACTGTACCAGGCAGCAGAGGGAGGTGTGGTACAGAGTGCTGTACCTGGTGACAGTACTGTACCAGGCAGCAGTACCAAGAAACCTGCCTGATCCCAGCCTAAACAGCGCGAGTGAAAGAACTCTCGATACCAACTACGGGTAAACCCCCATGTAACTTCAAGACTATAGAGAAAGCGCGATACATACACGGTGTATGTAACATACACGCCTGGGTGTATGTATCCCCGTATGCGGGGTGGTTGTGTGGAGGCGATGACAGGCACTCTTTGTCTGTAACGGTCATAACGGTCATAACGGTCTTAACGGCCATAACGGTCGATAACGGTCGATAACGGTCATAACGGTCATAACGGCCATAACGGTCATAACGGTCATAACGGCCATAACGGTCATAACGGTCATAACGGTCCCAGTGCGACCACTCTTGCCGGGCCCCGCACTCACCTGCAGGTACTCACCAAGATGTACTCACCCAAGTATGGTTACAGGGGTCGAGTGCCTGCTCTTGGGCCCCGCTTTCTCAGCAGTTTTTCATGTACTGCAACTCGCTGGAGCCGCTGCATGTGTAACATATCTTCATTAAAAACCTGTGTATGATAGTGGCCTCAACTGCCTCTTCCGGTGACACATCGCCCAAACGTTCGTCCTTATTTACTATGTTAATCCTCCCTAGGATCTTGTACGTTGCAATCATATCTCCTGTTTCTCGTACTCCAGCCCTCTCAGTTCTGGTTTCAGCTTTATGGCATATACCTCAACGTGATCCAGTTTTGTTTTTTTTGTTTTTAAAGGGACTCCATGCAGGAGCTGCATACTCCAATGCTGGTCTCTCATACGTTTTTGCCTCCTTCCTATCTCATCTCCGTCTCCCGGCTGCCATTACCTTACATTTATTTCAGTTACAGTCAAGTGACCATGTTTCAGCCCATCGTTGTTGGCTTTCCAATTTCACCTGTCCAGGACCACCTGCTTCCTGTTCTCTTCCTGTTTATTGTTCTCCTGCTTCCTGTTCTCTTCCTGTTGATTGTTCTCCTGCTTCCTGTTCTCTTCCTGTTTATTGTTCTCCTGCTTCCTGTTCTCTTCCTGTTTATTGTTCTCCTGCTTCCTGTTCTCTTCCTGTTTATTGTTCTCCTGCTTCCTGTTTATTGTTCTCCTGCTTCCTGTTTATTGTTCTCCTGCTTCCTGTTCTCTTACTGTTTATTGTTCTCCTGCTTCCTGTTCTCTTCCTGTTTAATGTTCTCCTGCTTCCTGTTCTCTTCCTGTTGATTGTTCTCCTGCTTCCTGTTCTCTTCCTGTTGATTGTTCTCCTGCTTCCTGTTCTCTTCCTGTTGATTGTTCTCCTGCTTCCTGTTCTCTTCCTGTTTATTGTTCTCCTACTTCCTGTTCTCTTTCAGTTATCAGCCAACTATATTAACTTACCCCGCATTCACCTCTTCGATCCCCTCTCTTTCCAATCCTCACTCCCTTCTCCCCCCCCACTCCAACCCCCACACCCCCCCAATCCCCCACAACACCCCCCCCCCCCCTCATATCTCAATCACTCCCAAAACCCACACCCGGTGACCTTGTCAATCTCATTATCATTAACCAATACTCGCAACACACTTCTTCTTAAGTAACCTCTAAGATCCAGGCTCATTAGCGACTCAGGGGGATCGTTAGCGGATCCCTAGAAGGCAATTTCCTAATCAAGTCGCCGCCCCCCCCCCCTTAACGGTACGGGTCTACCTGATCATTTTAATTGTTGAATATATTGATGAAATGCAGGTTTTTCTCCTTTCGTTCTCCCTCTGGCGGTTGTAAGTCTCGTTATTGTTTGATTGTCTGTTGAGTAGTAGGCTTTAGTTGGGTGGGGGCCCCAAGGTTAGCTGTGATTGTTGTTGGGGGTAGGGTGATTGTTGTTTGGGGGGTAGGGTGATTGTTGTTGGGGGTTAGGGTGATTGTTGTTGGGGGAAGGGTGATTGTTGTTAGGGGGTAGGGTGATTGTTGTTGGGGGGTTGGGCGATTGTTGTTGGAGGGGTAGGGTGATTGTTGTTGGGGGTAGGGTGATTGTTGTTGGGGTAGGGTGATTGTTGTTGGGGGTAGGGTGATTGTTGTTGGGGGGTAGGGTGATTGTTGTTGGGGGTTGGCTGATTGTTGTTGGGGGTGGGGTGATTGTTGTTGGGGGGTAGGGTGATTGTTGTTGGGGGGTTGGCTGATTGTTGTTGGGGGTGGGGTGATTGTTGTTGGGGGTAGGGTGATTGTTGTTGGAGGGGTAGGGTGATTGTTGTTGGGGGGTAGGGTGATTGTTGTTGGGGGATTGGCTGATTGTTGTTGGGGGTGGGGTGATTGTTGTTGGGGGGGTAGGGTGATTGTTGTTGGGGGTAGGGTGATTGTTGCTGGGGGGTAGGGTGATGATTGTTGTTGTTGGGGGTTGTTGTTGGGGGGGGTGATTGTTGTTGGGGGTGGGGTGATTGTTGGGGGTTGGGGGGGTAGGGTGATTGTTGTTGGGGGGTAGGGTGATTGTTGTTGGGGTAGGGTGATTGATTGTTGTTGGGGGGTAGGGTGATTGTTGTTGGGGTAGGGTGATTGTTGTTGGGGGGTAGGGTGATTGTTGTTGGGGGTTAAATGATGGTATAAATTTGTGACTTAAACGCCTATAATGCACTTTAATATACTCACACGCACATATATACACACGCAAACACACACACACTAGGAAAGGGGAAGCCTCGTTGCTGAGTGGACAGCGCTCAGGGGTCGTAGTCATAAGAGCCAGGTGGGAAGTTTCTTTTACCTGATGCCGCTGTTCACCTAGCAGCAAATAGGTATCTGAGAGTTAGACGGCTGCTACGGGCTGCTTCCTGGGGATATGTGTGTGTGTGCGTGTGTGTGTGTGTGTGTGTGTGTGTGTGTTAGAGAGAAATATATGTAGTAGACATAATAGAGGAAGAACTACATTGGTTAAAAAGGTGGGGTCCAAGAGCTAAAAGCTCGATTATATATGAGCTATAGAGGTGGTGTTCTTATAGCATCACCACCACCACACCACCACCACCACCACACCACCACCACCACACTACATCACCACCACCACCACCACCACCACCACCCACCACCACACCACCACCACCACACCACCACCACCACCACCACTACACCACTACCACCACCACACCACCACCACCACCACCACCACTACACCACCACCACACCACTACCACCACAACACCACCACCACCACCACACCACTACCACCACCACCACACCACCACCACCACTACACCACTACCACCACCACCACCACACCACCACCACCACCACACCACCACACCACCACCACCACACCACCACCACCCACCACCACCACCACCACCACCACCACCACACCACCACCACCCCACCACCACCACCACACCACCACCACCACCACCCCACCACCACCACCACCACCACCACCACCA